TTATTGGGGGGGAAAAAAAAAAAAGTCTGATGAAAGTTTTTATCAGTGCTGCTGATCCTGTGTGCTGATGGTATTTCATGAGGTGTCTTTAGGACCAGTGTCAGAGAATGGGACAAATAGGAATTGTTTTCTTTCTACTTTCCATTTCTACTTTTCCTTTAGTTTGACCTTTTATCCTTTTTCTGTGGCTTGTGTTTCTCTCTGCTAAAATAACATTTCTTTCCCTGTTGTCCTTCATTCCTTCCTTCCTCCGTGTGCTTGGTCATCCCCACCTGCTATTGTTCCTCTTCTCCACCTTCCTGCTTTTGTATTCCTTTGTATTTTCAATAGCAAAAATGTCTCTGGTGGTGCCTTCCCGCTGTCTGAGTGCTCTTGACAGACACACAGAATTCCCTGTAAAACTCTTCCATCCCTGCATCGTTTCCTGAGTGTGGTGGCCATGGGATGGAACAGCTGTGCAGGGTGACAATGTCACCTCCCCCTTTCTCCTGCCCCATTCTCCAGCCCTCAGCCACTTTTGGGATAGCAGCACTGTCCAAACATTCCTTAAGCTCTGCTCGTGTTAGTGCCACGCTCACGCCTTCAGGGAATTAAAGGATTTGGTTTAATTCTGTATATTTTATATACTTGGACCACGATTTTTATCTAGGGAAAAAAATTATATATTTGGGCCTGCCATCATCAGGTTGTTTTAGGTCCCTTCCAACTGAAATAATTCTATTTGTATAGTAACCCCCATATTTTTATTATAACTGTCCAAGAATAGGAAGCATGACTGAAACTGAAGACACAACCTTTCACTTCACTCCTGTTTGTAGCTAATTTTGAGGCTCTTAAGTACCACGTTTCACAGTGATAGATGTGACAGGTTTTGGTGATACTCAAATATTTTCCTTGAATATTCTTTCAGTGCCTCATTTAGTTTGTCTGCTTTCTTATTAAAATGTGGCAAGTGAGCGTGCTCTGCTGCTGCTTTACTATTTCAAGATTTCTTCTGCAGTCGTTGCATTTTACAAATACCGATTTCGATTCTTGTGCAGGTCTTTGATGATAACATCCCTCTCCTCCACTTTGTTGGGCTATGTAAAATAACGTGTAAAACGCTTTCAAAGCCAAGGTGTGATCTCATTTCGTCGTGTGAACGGCACTTAAAGCTGCCAGGAATTAAACCTTTGTGTGGAGGTGATTGTTGTGGGAGCAGGACCCAGCCACAACCCAAGCTGCAGCCTGGGCAGGAGGATGATGGTGCTGCTGGCAGTCGATGTAATCCTGTGCTCTGATAGAACAGGGCCAGGCTGCAATTTGAATTTCCTGTGCAATGCTTAAAGGCAGAGCCAGGAGCTCACTTGGCCAGAGCAGAGGCAGGAACTGGAGCAGGTCAGAGCCCCTGGCTGGCGCTGCCGTAACAGTTTCTGCTGCTCCAACTTCACAACTTGTAGCAGGTTTGGAGAAGAAGCTCGGAGTGTTGGAGGGAAACAGCTTCAGGCAAGAGGATTCTGACAGCCCTGGATTTCTGAGGTGCTGAATCCATCCTGCAGGAGTCCTGCTGGGATGAACTGTGACATGAAGAGAAATCTGTGTGGAGAGGGAAGTGATGCTATAAATCAAAAACAAAAAGGCTGCCTGGGAGTTGGGAAAGGGCTGGACACCTGGAGTGGTCAGGGAGGATTTACTGGGAGCTGTGTGCAGCTTTTCCAAAGGATCTGAGTGATGGTCTGGGAGGCAGGAGGAGTCATTGTAGGGGATGGGTGATGCTGAGCAGGTGAAATGCAGCAGTGAAAATCTAGAGGAGGCTTCCTGATGTCATCTCCTCTAACTACTAATTGGATTTCTTTTCCTGGTGGTTTTTGTGCCATCTCTGAGAGCTTCTTCCTTCACCTGGGCCAGCCTGTGGTTTGCAGGCTCTATTAATTATAAGGCAGCAGGAGTTGAACCATCCTAACTGGGCTTGCTGTTCAGCCAGAGCTGAGCTTTGACAAAGACTGGGGCTGCACCTTTTATGTGTGAAAATCAGATGGGTCTGCAGGCTTCAGCTGTCAGTGAGGGACCAGTTAAGCTGTGTCACGTGGATCCATTTCACTGCATTCCTTCTGGAGAGGCATATGCAGCTTGGCTGTTGTGTTTAAAAACCACATTCTTTGCTTTGGTACAGAGTCTCAATGTCAGGGCTGGTAAACTAATTTAAAAAATCATAATATAATTTTTTAGATTAAGTCCTAGGCAAGATCACTCTTACAAAAAAGACTTCATGTCACTTTTTGCCATTAAACTGTTTTAAGGAAGAACAGGTGTTGGTGTGGCAAAATATGGACAAAATAACCCAAACTGCTGGCAGAGCTGCTTGTGATGTAGTTTGGATATTGGATACCACAAAGCTTTTTGTAGCATGGACAAGTCTTATCTATTAATTCATATTTTCCATTTATTTCAGCTGGCGATTGGCTGTGGATGGGGAAGGGAGGGCTTTGGAATGTACTTTATTTCCCCCTTCTGCATGTTTGAGGAGATCTGTCAGAAGGGAGTGGCTCATCTTAAAAACTTTGGAGTTCTAGGGATTATTTTTTTCACTCCATCTCTTTGATGTCTTGCAAGTATTGATGAGTGAGACTTCCAGTGAGTTGTCACTTGTTCTGGAGAACCTCCCAAATCCTTGGCAGCAAGGAATGCTGTTCTTCCCTCCACCTCTGGCATCACCCTTTGTTTTCTTAGCAAAATTCTTGCATTTGATCTGATCAAAAGAGAAGCTTTCAGTTGTTATTTGCCTGCTGGGTGCTCCAGACAGTGTGGAAAACCTGGCTGATAAATGTATTCCTTAAAATGGGACCTGTGCTTGGCTTCAGTCTCCATTAATAGATTGGGGTTTTTTTACATAACTTTGCATAACATTTGAATAATCTGGCATTGTTGGTTTTGAAAGCCTTGAAGAGCTGTCAGCAGTCACCAAAATCACTCTTTCAGTAGTTTGTGTACTTGTCTCAGATTAAACGTTTTCCTTAAACACTGTCTTTCAGAGAGTTATTTTGCTAAATCCCATTGGAAACTGTTCCTTTTTGGCTTCTTGGAGGGTGCTGAGGACCAATGTCTGGGGCCTGGAGTGATATTTTTTTTCTTGTTCAGAACATCTGTGCTGTCTCTTGGGATTTGGTTCCCTTTGGACTTGCATTGCTCAGTTCTTACCTATTTATTTTGCACAGTTTACAGCTATTTGAGCTAAAAAATTCCTGCCTCTGAAAGGAATATTTGCAATGTGTTGTTAATCCAAAGTATTGATGGATTTGTGTTTTCATTGTGCTCCAGATTAAGATTTCTAAATTCTACAAACAGTAATAAACCCAGTAAAGTGCTTTCATATTCCTAGAGCACAGCCTAAGCTTTTCAGTGTTTATTGCTCTTAGGCTTGGTTTTGAACTTGGACAATCCTGGGGTTTTCTGGCTTTTAGAGGGGTGAATGTTGCTTTTGTGTACAGAGCAAGCCAGCAGCCTTGTGCTGAACCCTCTCAGGCCACCCTTCAAAGGATACAGTTCTGTAAATATCATCCTTTTGTCACAGCATTTCTCCTTTCTATTTCCAGGAGTTTATTATTCCAGCTGGAACATGCAGAAGTAATTTAGCTACTTGTGTGTCTTCAGCAAAGCCCATTTCAGTGCATTTTATTTCCCTGTTTGTGCTGCCACTTAAGGTGCTATCCAAAGGATTGTCTGGATTGGCTTAATGTTTGTTTGCTTTCTTTTCCAGAATAACTTTATTGATACCAAAATCCTTCTTAATTCCACTACCAAGAGCTGGAAAATCCTCCCTGTGCACCATGGGGGTGTCTGAGGGAAGCACAGGGTTTTTGTTGTGTTGGTATAAAGAGGTTTAATGTGAAATTAATGCTACTGGGACAAGTGTAGGTGCTGAGGTGAATGGTGCTGCAATTTAAGGAATTCTTCCTGCTGTAATCTCACCCTCCCTTCCCAGCTGGAATATTTGAAGTTTAACTTCCCCATTCTTTTGAGGACATCAGAACATAGGGGAAGTTTTTTTCTTAGCTGCTGGTGTGTGTGTGAATCAAACAACAGAGTTATGTAAATAAATGTATGCAGCCTATTGGATATATTTGACTATTCCCTTTTCTTTATTTTACCTCCAGATGGTAACTGGGATCTCAGCTCCAACTCCTTCATGTGTGAGGGTCAAGGAATGAGTAAGAGCCTGTTAATAGAGGCCAGTGGGAGTTGTAGGGAAGGAAAGACAGGAATAGTCTCTGCCTGAGCAGTTTTCTGCTCTGCTTTGGCAGAGCTCACAATGGAGCAGAGGATGGAAATGTTGATCCTGGCATTTGCTCTGGACAGTTCTGGTGGTGAATGCTCAGCTGGGAATGGGAGCTGAACTCTCCCAGTCCTGGGGGTCTGGGCTTCTGTGGAAGGGGGTGTTGGGCTGAAAGTGCCCAACAGGATCATGGACACAGATGTTTTATTTACTGGGTGGGATGGGGAATAGTGGAGACTCACTCATGGCTTGCTGTCATCACAAATTTCTGGAACTGTTGCAGTTGAATCCTGACTGTTCAGTCAGAGTGGGTTAGGTGAGGCAGTGTGGATTTTAAGGGAGTTACCTGCTCCACTTGTTATCTTCTGTTACTTCAGTGGCTGCAGGAATGCATCAGCCAAAGGAATTCTTCTCTGACCAGTACTGAATGTTCTAAAGCTTTTTTTCCTTTCTCTTTGCCCCCCTCGCTTCAGAGGGAAGTTTCTCAGCAGAAAGCTGAGGTGTGGATGTACAGCTGATAAGGACCTTTGCCAACCTTAAAGATTCTTTGTAGAATACTCAAGGTTTCTTCACATTAACTTTCCAAATGTGTTTTTCTTGCACTTGGGTGGTGCTGGCATCCATGTGGAAAGGTAGCAGGGAGCTTGTACAGAACTTGTGATTATTTTCTATAAAATGCATGTACACATCTCTGCCTGAATGTTTTTCTCTGTGGTGTATATCTAATTTTTTTTATTTTTTTTTTAAGGATTGGACCTATCCCATGAGGAGAGAGATGCAGGTAGGACACTTTTATTTAGCATTAGTTAGAAAAACCCATGGAGCATTTAATGGGGAGAAAAAAGAGCTGGTATCAAAATCAGTCTTCACCTGTAAAGTGTCAGGCAGCACCATGGGAGACAGAATTAATTAGTTAATTAAGGTGAGGATTTGCCAGCTTGGAATATGTGTGTTTGCATCTCTGTGCAGGTACTAAAACAGAAATTCTCCAAATATCACATTTTTGTCTTTCTTAGTGATTTTAGACGATTACTAAAAATGTATCAGAGCTTTGCCTTCTACCTTAAACTTGGAAGTGTTTTCCAGTGGGATGGACAATTAAAATTTTCCTACCATGGTGTCCATTTTAACCATAAATGGTTAAAAAGTGATATTTTCCCACTGCTAGGTCAAAGCTTGAAGAATTTCCATGTGTGTATCTCTCTTCTTAAGAGCAATTTGGAGTTAATTACAAGACAGGATTATAAACCACGTTTGAGGGTTATAAACCACTTGATCTGGGGCTGGGTGAGATTCAGGAATCAACTTGGAACTTAGTCCAGACCAAGGACTTTGTTCCTGCTCCAAAACAAGATCTTCAGCACCAAGATCATGTTTCTTTTATCCTGCCAAACCATTTTTTTTTTCCTTGTCTTGCTATAAATGACATTTATTACACATTTCAGTAATATGTAAATTATTTGTGTCTGAGTGAAATGTGTTATTTCAAATCATTTGGAGTTGGTATTAAATGTCTGTTCTTCTCCTGCCTCCTAGGAAATCTTACCTGGGTTATTTTTAGGCCCATATTCTTCAGCTATGAAAAGCAAGGTATGATTTTCAGAATATTCTCTCACAGGGAAGCTTTGCTGTGGTGATTTGATTTGTTACTGTGGAGATCTGCTCGAGTGTATCTATAGAGGTGCTGGAACGTGAAAAATGCCAGAGTGGAAGGAATATGTGGTGCATTTGTGGGATGGTCTGAGCTATTTGTATTAAAATTGAGTCTTAAATATAATTTTTTTAAAAAAAAATTAAACCATTTGAGACACTTTATCAATTCCTATTTCCTTTGCTAAAGCATTGCAAGACAAATAGAACTGGTCACTTGCACATAGACATGAAAACAAGGAAAATTAAATCTACAGTAGAGTCAAGCACTGCTCAGGCACAGCTTGGCTTTGCAAGTTTGCCTCATGGTTGAAATGATCTTATTTTCATGGTCTGATTTCAGCAAGAATCCAATGCTGGCTGCAAATTCCTCCCTTATTTAGGGACTTGAAATTTTTGAAAGGTGGGGAGAGACGAACAAGTTCATTGAACACCTTCCTTTATTGTCATTTTCTCTTTTGAATTCTAGAAAACCAGCTCAGAATTTCCTTGCTGTAGTCCTATTTTGTGTTTAAGCACAGCTTTTCTTTTTATTACTGTCTAATAGATGATGTGTAATTAAAAAAAGATGTTTTTTTCTTTCTCCACAGCTACCTATACTCCAGAAACATGGAATAACCCATGTAATATGCATACGGCAAAACATTGAAGCAAATTTTATTAAACCAAACTTCCAGCAGTTATTTAGGTGAGAAATGATCAAGATTCCTTTGTTTTCCTTCTGTTCTTTCCAAATATTTTCACGTTGTCAGAATTATTTCAAAAATAAAAAAATAGTGCTGGGGTGCAGAAAGACTTGAAATCCAAACCATGAATTTTTATTCATCCTGAAGGAGTTTGTAAATTAGAATTATCCATAGTTGGCAGTAACTGCTTTCAGTTTGAGGTGAAATCTGTCAGGGGGTCCTTTCCTCACAAGGTTCTTGGTTGAATTTCTGCAGTTTAGAGCAGGAATTAAAGCCAGGGGGTTGTGCTGAGTTCCTCTTGCAGTTGGAGGGGTTGTAGCAGCTCCGTGGTGTTGTGTACTCACAGGAAATTCTCATTGCAGGTATTTAGTCTTGGATATTGCAGATAATCCAGTGGAGAATATAATCCGATTTTTCCCTATGGTGAGTAGATGGATTGGGAAGGGAATTGCCCAAGAGTTTCCTGAACTAACAGATACCACTTTGACATTTGGGATTCTCAGCCTGAGGCACCTGGAGGTGCTGCCAGCTCTTGACTTTATTATTGACACTTTAATAAGTGCAATTAACTCCTTTTTACAAGTATGGAAACAGGTGGAGTTGTAAGAGCTGCTTCTTTTTATGGTATTAAAAAAAAAGAAATAAAAATTAAAAAAGACTAGCCTCAAAACAGATTTGGTTGTGAGGAAATTCTGGGGTCCCTTGACCTGGGGGAAACTACATTTCTTGCATCAGATTCAGAATATTAACTGAGTTTTATAGTGTCTTAAAACATATTTGCTGCAGAGGAATTAAAAAGTAACTTGTAAATTAAACAATGCTCATTATTGGAACAAACCCCTGGTTTTGAACTGTGGGTTTGTGTATTTATTTTAATTTAATTTGCAACTGAACAAAAAGATTTTGTTCCTTCTTCCACCAAAAAACCCAGCAGAGCCTTCAGTGGTTTTGTACTGACAATTTTAGGAATAATTTAAAAAAGAAAAGAAATTTATTTATTAAATTTACTTATTAAAAGAAATACATATGTCCAGTTGAAGTGAGGTTTAAGTCTGCATAAAGTGCATTATTGTCACTGTAAATAAAGACTGATATAAAAATTATACCAAATTTAGGAGTTATTACTACTTGCACTTAAAATAATCTGGAAGTTTGAGTCTTGTATTTTTTTTTTCTTTTCAGACTAAAGAATTTATTGATGGAAGTTTACAAAGTGGAGGTAAAATTAAATTAATTTTTCATTTATTGAGGAATTGTTAAAGCCTTAAAACAAACTTAGGGATATGTTTTAGAAGCTCTCAAATATGAGCTTTTCTTAAATTTGGGGGGTTTATTATGCTTGATTTGAACTCCATTAGACAAATTCAGAGTAATTGTTCTTTCCTTTTGCCTCTAACTGGAAAATCAACCTCTGGGGTTTGGTTTTTTTTCACTTGAAACACAGCTGAGTTCTGTGTATGAAGTTTTCTTGTCCCCTGTCTAATGCAGGAGCTGAAATCTGTATTCTGTCACTCAGAATCCTCCCAGGAGCAGGAATCCCAGTTCCTGTATCCCAAAGGACAGATATTCCAGAAATTCAGGGTCAAGGAAAACAACACCTGTTTTTCTTGGATGTGCCTTGCTGCTGCCTGGTTCTTCATAACATATTTCAAAGAATTTTATTCAATTTATACAAATATGGTTAATTTTGGCTTGTTTTTTTTTTATCTTCTCAGGAAAAGTTCTTGTCCATGGGAACGCAGGGATTTCTAGAAGGTAGGAAATGATCCGTCCTGATATGAATATTTTTAAACAATTAAAAGATATTTTACTAATATTTATTTGTTTGGGTTTTGTTTTTCCAGTGCTGCCTTAGTTATTGCATACATAATGGAAACATTTGGGGTGAAGTACAGGTAAGAAGAGCTATTCAGGTTTTAATTCAGGTGGTGTGAGTGAATAATGATTTTGGAGGGAAGAGAAACTGTTGTGTTTTCACTCAGTCTCAGTACTTCACGTAAGATTTTACCAGGGGCTGGTAAAGTCATTTTACTTCATTGCAGTTGTGTTTACACCCTTTTTTTTTTTAATAATTAGGGCACCAGCCTCTATCCATGGATAAAACCTTGGGAGAGGCCCCAGGGGCTGTTCTGAGCCTGTGTTGAACAGGAAAATGAGCTGAGCATTGGGGTGGGCAAACAGAATTGTACAACTGCTGCTTTCTGCTTTGGCCAAGCAATTGCAGTTGTAAAAACCAGCTCTGGGCAGAGTTTAGAGGTTCTGAAGAACTGATAATCTGAAGGAAGACTCAAACTGACACAGAGACTTTTATGTATTTGTCACTGAAGTGTTTTCTCCTCTTTTTAAGGGATGCATTTACTTATGTCCAAGAAAGAAGATTCTGTATTAATCCTAATGCTGGATTTGTCCATCAACTTCAGGTGATTTTTTTTTTTTTTATTCCTGATCATAACTGAAAAGCCATTTAATGAATCATCTTCCTGCCAAACAGACATTTATACAAATATGCTTCAAGGAAATGTCAGGAGCAGGAGTAAAGCTTGGGAGGAAGATGAGTGGGCACCTCAGTTCCTCAGACTGAAGCTTTGGACAAAGCAAATCCAGGAATGGAGGAGAAATAAAAATCCTGGTTTGTGCAGTGATTAAGAGGCTCTGAAATGTCTTATTTGGTGCTGAAGGAGCTGCAGAGGAAATGTTGTTTGTTCCTTAAATCCATTTCTTTAGTCATCCTTGAACTTTTCTTTTCCTCTGACTTCCTGATGGTTTTTGTCATTCATGTCAAAGCAACAAAGAATTCTCCTCCCAAATCTGTGCCTGGATATGAGATATTCTCTGAATTAGCCCTTCTCATCCTTACAAAGCTTTATGCCAAAGTAATTCCAATCAGCATTTTTGGACCTTTCCAGGAATATGAAGCCATCTATCTAGCAAAATTAACCATCCAGATGATGTCACCTCTGCAGCTGGAGAGATCCCTCTCAGTCCCACCTGGCAGCACAGGTGAGAACCTTCTCCTACCGGGGCTGTGAGGTGATTTTTAAGCAAACCTTTAGCAGCAGAATCCCAAACTCTTTGGTGTTCAAGCCTCTTGGTTTAAACTTTAATGTGAAGTGTTTAAATATCCTGGTTTTCCATGGCTGAAGTTCCCTTTTGCCTCCTGCAGGGAGTTTGAAGCGGATGCACGAGGAGGATGAAGACCTTGGCACCATGCAGGTGGCAGCAGCACAGAACGGGTGATGGCTGAGGACAAGCACTGGTTGTAGTGAGAATTCCTGCCAAGAAAGGTGAAGGAAACTAGGGGAAAAACAAAAAACAAAACACAAATTAATGCAAAACAATGAACACACATAGCTTCTTTTCAATTACATGTTGCTTTCAGATGTAAATCTGCCTCTGCAACACACTAAGCATCATTTTTAAGATGTTGGACTTCTTGAATGAATAGATGGCACTGATTGTTTTACTCCTTTTTTACACTTTACAGTTTTATTCTAAACCAAGATTTTTGGACTTGCAAAGAGGTATTATTGCAATAATGCACTTTTCATACTTGAAATTTCTTTATTTGTATGATATAAAGTTATTACTTTAAACAAAATGCAAGCGGGGGGGGATTTGTTTATAAAGTTATTTGTGTAATTTATAACAAGAGACTTTAGTAAAGAAAAAGTTTGCTAAAATTCACCTTGTTCTCAGTATGTATTTACCAGAAATGTGCTGTGGGAATATAAACATAGAGGGTAATTCAAGTTGAACTATCTAGAACATCCTCAAACTGGTTTTCAAGGAGTAGTTGCTGTTGCAAGGCAGTAGTGGCATAATTAAAGGTAAAAATTGGATTTGAAGACTGAAAACTCTTTGAAAACTGAGGCCCAGGGCACTGCCCATGATGGGATCAAGACTTAAAGGATTCAGCTCAGCTCTTGTCAAATCTTAGACTCAGCTAAGGAAACTCTTCGTGGTGCTTTGAGGTTTTCTGATGGGGGATCAGGGTGGTTTGTGCAGCTCTAACTCTCCTGTCTCATCAGCACAGAGGTTGTGCAAGCACAGTCCTGGTTCTGCACCTGCTTTATTCCCAATGTTTGTTGCCTAAAAGCCAGGGCTGGGATGATTTGGGAGCACTGTGCAGTTAGAAAACAGGCACAAGGCTGTTAGAAAAACTTGTGTTTTTGGGAAGTCTGAGACTGTGATTTACCAGGGGAAAAATGGGCTCAGGATTTGGGGATCAGAGCATCCAGCAGCACATTCCCATTCCTGCTGCTATCCTGTGCCACCTACAGCTGTGATGGAGCAGAGTCATTCCTTCAGGGGGGAAAAAGTCTGCAGTAAATAAATAAATAGTGTGATGCTTTCCTTGGGAACTTTTCAGCTGGAAAAAGGGAAGTGCTTTATCTCCTGGAGAAGTGCACTGTGTCAGTGTCCTGTGCTGGTTTTGCAGTTGGAGAGGGTTTGTTCCTGCTCTGAACTGATCCTGTGTAAGGAATGCTCTGGGGCTGTTGGGAAATGCATTCCCACATGGCAGCAGTGGGGCTGTGCCTGGCCCTGCACAGCCCCCAGCCACGAGCTGCTGCTGGAACTGGGCTGGGAAACATCAACTCCCTCTCTATTTCAGGTCCCTGGGGAAGGGGAGGGATGAAACACAGATGGAAGGCACTGATTCATCTCTCCAGACTCTTCTGTGTCTGGGTCTGTTCTCTCTGGGGTCCTGGGAACACTCCCTTCCTACTGACAAGCTCCATGACGAAGGATTTTTCATCAATCCAGTTTTTTTTCCTGGCATTACCCCCTCCTGGTGCCTTTTACAGTCATTCTGGTCTGTCTGCCTGTCAGATCCTAAGGGATTCTGAGATTTAATTTTCCTCAGATCTATTACTAAGCTGTCTATTTAAAACTTCCTGTGTCTGTCTGCTGTAGTTTCTCTGCCAGAAGATGTTTCAATATTTGTTTTTTAGGGGTGGAACTAAAGGCAGGAATTGGAAGCAGGGTCCCTCACTGTGCACTGGAAAGAGAAGTTGGAGGGTGAATTATTATGTTTGATTTCCCAGGTACAAACACAAAACTGCAACACCCAAATTTTTGGGAATCCACAGCTCTTCAGTGAGGGGCTGAAATTGCCTTTTCCAGCTTAGGGGGGGAAGCAGAGTGAAGGAACTGGAGATCTCTCCTCAGGGTGGGAAAGGTCTTAGGCAGAAAATTGAATTGCAGGGAGGAGGTAACATTCAACCTCTGGAGAAGCTGGTAGTGCTGTTAGGGCTGGTTCTGACAAAAAAAAAGTGTTCCAGGCAAGGCTGGACAAGGCTTGGAGCAAACTGGGACAGTGGAAGTGTCCCAGGGCAAGGGCTGGAGTGAGATGGGCTTTGAGGTCCCTTCCAGCCCAAACCAGTCTGAGATTCTCAAATATTATCAACTATGTGTCCAAATACTGCTGGTTTTATATCTATATTATTTCTATATATTATATAAATATTATATGTTTATATAAAAATACATAAAGAGATCTACATAACTATATATAATTCTATATAATCTAAAACAGTGGTACCCAGATGCTTGTGTGTCCAGGGAAGAGCTTCCCAGGGGAAAACATTTATGAAAGGTTTGGTGTTTGCCTCAAGGAGGTTATGGTTGATTTTATATATATATAAAATACATATATACATATATATGTATAGTCTCTCTAGATGTATGTATATATATAAAAATATGTATATATTATGTATCATATATAGATTTTATATATACATAAAATACATAGCCATAATAGATTTTGTATCTACATCTACAATATACATATTTATATCTATATTTTAGGTCTATTTTTATAGGGGCCTTTGCTTTTCCCTCTTGAGCCCGTTGTACTGTGGATAAATTCACAGGAGCTGCTGCAGTTTTTCCAGAGGGGTGGGAATGTCACCTCTGGGATGAACAAAGAGCTCTTGAGCTGCTCTGAGGGGGCTGTGCCCGGCAGGGCCATTGTGTTGCAGCCACAAACCCCAGCTTTCAACCCCATTCAGCTGCTTGACAGCGATCTGAGCGGGGCCACAGCACCTGCTCCTCACTCTGATCTTCTCATTAACTCTTAATGAGGGCCTGGGGCTCTTTAGATGGTGTAGATACCGTGGAATTCAAATAATCCACTTTAAATCGGTGGAAATTCTGAATTCATTAAAACTCTGAAAGGCAAAAAATCCACCTTAGTCACTTGGGCCAGCAGAAAGCAGGAGTTGTTTTACAGAACAAGAGTCAGGGCTTGAGGTGTCAGAGGAGCACATCTGCTTTCTCCTGGGAGAGAAATACACAGGGAATTGCTAAAAGTGTTCTTTTCAGCCTAGGGAAGGGGAACAGGTAACTGCAGCAGGTGGTGCTGCTCAACAAGCACATCCTCACTCCATGAAAAACAGTCCAGATCCAGGTAGCAATCATTTATTCAGCTTAAACAAAGCTATTCTTTAAAAAAATAATCAATAAATAAAGCAGACATCACCAAGGAGACAGTGGATGGAGTGGAGAACCCTCAGGAAGATCAAGCAGAGCCCCCAGCACTGTAGAGTCGCTCTCCAGAGCACAAAGCAGGACAGTGTGGAGGGCCTGGCTGCCCACAAACAGCCCAGCCTGGGTATAATGCCCTATTCATGGCTGTGGGATTTGTCACTCCCCACACAAAACACCACTGTTGGCACCGGGGCTTTGGACATTATTTGCTTTTCACCCCTGGCAAAAGTGCTAAAATCACTGATCCAATCTTGCAGCAAGAGGGAAGCTCTGCAGCAGCAGCAATCCCTCAGGAGCAGAAGAGGGACATTTCTCTCCTGCTTTGCTGTGCCAGGGGTGTTCAGTAAATCCCAGAATGGTTTGGGTTGGAAGGGACCTTAAACTCATCTCATTCCAACAGGGACACCTTCCATTGTCCCAGGCTGCTCCAAGCCCTGTCCAGCCTGGCCTTGGACACTTCCAGGGATCCAGGGGCAGCCACAGCTTCTCTGGGCACCCTGTGCCTGACCATCCTCACATCAGGAATTCCTTCCCACTATCCCATCTCTCCCTACCCTCGGGCAGTGGGAAGCCATTCCCTATGTCCTGTCCTCTCCTTTTTAGGCCCTGGAAGTGGCTCTGAGGCTTTTCTGGGCTGAACACCCCCAGCTCCCTCAGGTGAATCTGCTCATCCCAATCCCCTTCCCACTGACAGCCAGAATCCCACTCCATCTGGGACACAATCCTTCAGACATTCCAGTTTCCCAGTTACCCTCTGCCCTGCTGCAAACCACGTCTGGGGTTTTTATGTCAGAAAAAAAGTAATTATCCTGAAAACCAAGTTATCAGCTAAAGTGCAGGAGCCCTGCAGTGAGAAGCACACATCCATTTTTAGACTGGGAATTCAGCACAGCCTTTAAGGATTCTCCCTAACCTGTACCAACAGTAACAGATCCAGTCTTGGAAAACAGTGCCTATAAAACTTCTGATGCACCACCAGCACTTCCATGAGATGTCATGGAAAAAACCAGAACTAAGGCCTGTTCTGTGTCACTAATTCTGCATAAGAGAAGCCTCATCCCTTCCCCAGCTACGTCATCCTTCCATCAGCACAGCCAGGACAGTCCCAGGGGCTGTCCTTTGGCTACTGAGAAAAGAAGCACAAACCTTTAGAAAAATACAATGCAAGAAAAAATTTGAGATAAAAATATATACCTTTGGTTAAAAACCATCCCTTTAACGAGTCCTTTTGTAATTCAGCTAGAACAGAAAAGCTTCACCTCGACTCCACAGTAGTAAAAATTAGTTCTAAACTTATTTTCTAACCCAGAGGACCCTTTCTAAAACCTCAGTAATTTTTTTTTCCCCAAGATTTACACATTTGATGTTCATTATTTATAGGGATTGTTACATTTGCAGCAATAAACTATAGAAATTTTCCACGGAGAGAATGTTTGTAGCACTCCACCAACAGTCTTTCCAAGAAAAAAAAAAAAAAAGAACCCAAAACACCTAGAAATTGTTAATTAAAGAACCGTTGAAACATGTAGTTTTCTTCAGATACCAAATAGCCAAACTTCTTGTAGAAATCCACATTTTTGGGCAGACACTCAAGCGTGATTTTGTAACAGTTCAGTCTCTTACTTAGCAGGGTGAGGGTGGACGTTAATCTGGAAAAGATAAAAAAAATCAGGAGTTAAATTCTGGGTCAGTGAATATTTAATTAGTTACATTATTGCAACACTGAGGGCTCACAGCACTCTCTGTGTTTTCCTGCAGATCATTTTATTTCCAGCTGGTGATCCCTGCTGGCTGAATTCTTCCCAGGTGCTTGGCAGGAAGGTGTGAGGTGTAAGGAAGGGTTTGCTGAATGGCACAGGTGGGGGATACTCACAGTTTTCCAAGCTGCTTCCCTCTGCACTCCCCGCTGACCACCACATCTTCTATCCTGCCTCTCTGAAAGCACAGGCAAGTGTCTGTCAGTCCTGGAATTGCCCTTCCAGCTCCCTGTGTTCACAGCCTGGCTGGGACTCCCAGCACGGAGATCCTCAGCCATCTGCTCTGTCAGAACCACGTCTGACTCCTTCACAAGCACAATGGGACACATCTCCAAGTGCTCCTTTTCCTCAGGAAAAGCCAAAGTTCCATTCGCTATTAACTCAGCACTTGAGATTTTTTTAAATACACAAAATATTTTATCTTTTAAAAAATAC